TTTTTTTTTTTTTAGCTGATGCACTGCTCAATCATTCCAATGGTTCTACATTTCCTTGATTATCGACTTTGTTCACATGCATCTGCAATTTACTACGCACATATTGGATTTCCTTTGGTACATTTAAAATTTTTGTTTTTTGTTTCATAAATCTTTCTTTGCTTATGTCTTCTCCTTATTGCTTATTCAAATTTCCAAATCTTTACTTAAAATTTTCAATGTTACAGAATTATTGCCGAAAAATTTTACACAGCTATTACACGTGCTTAAATTAATGGCAACATTAAAAAGAATTTTTTTTTCTTTTTTTTTTTGCTATCAATTGTTAAATTGGCTTTAGAATTTTTTTTTTTTTAGAAGAGGGGAGCACAGTTATCAGTCAGATAGACTATACAAATGATAATTTTGTTCAGGTGATTAGTTTAGGATGATTAGAATTGGTTACAGGTAAATGCGCTAATGGGATCGAGCGTCTGGATAGTTGTTTTCCTGACAATGAGCCAATACGTGGCTGTTTGCTATCCGCTTTACGGTGACTATCTCAGGTGATCAAATCGTTCAAATCTCCTTTTTTTTTTCGTTTTTACCCGGTCGTACCAAATGTTACCTCTTATTATATATCAAATCTTTGTCTTTTTTCCTCTCTTTCTGTTTTTATCTGGTTTTTTTCTGTTTTTTTTGCCTTACTGTCGCTGTTATACAGTTAGAACGTTTTTTGGCTTCTGATTGCTATAAACTGCAAGCGTAGTTGTTGTTGGCTGGTCTTAGGTGATAATTTTTTTCATGCTTCGTGCTGCCAATTTCAACTAATCATTGCTTTGGAAACAGATTTTGTCTAAATCTTTAACTGTTATCCCAAATGGGATCAGTTCTAGTTTGAACAGAGTAATGAGTACAGTAAAAAAGTACAACTTTAGCGACCTTCTTTTCTTTTTGCTTTTAGGTCACGAAGACTGTGTTTCTCGTTATTTGGTGCTGCATATATAATTAATTTTTGTATATACGCTCCATGGGCAGCTAAAAAAACAATTTTTCAGGCAGGTTATTCTTTGTTCTTTTTTTTTTCTGTTATTTTTTTTTACCTTTTAGCTTTATGTTAAATGGTATAAACAGTGAGCTAATTAATCAATTACAATTGAGTAATCTATTTTTATTAGATGCTTTCCGTGTATGATTAATCAATTTTAGTTTTTTCATTTATTTAAACATTTTGTTTTAAATCTCACTGAAAAAAATTGTTTGATTACGGTAAAAAACTTATCACTAAAATTCCGCATAATCAATTTCTCTTTTTTGATACCTAATTAAAGTTCTGAAACTATCAAAAAATTTTAGTAAACATTTGGCATGAGTAACACTTTTGTTAATAACAGTTCAAACTGTACTGCGTTTTCGTTCATGAGGTAAATTCAAAAGTGAAAAAACCGCTTATTGGTTGCTAAAACACTAAATCTCGTTCCAGTCAAAATTTTAAGATTTAAATCACAGCTTTTTTGATTACTCAGAAAAACCTTGTGCTTATTTTTTAATTTTACTCACAAACTGCAAAAAAAAAAAAATTTTTTTTTGTATCACTTAATAAATCTATGGCTTATTATTTTGATTTTCTCAAACAAACTTATAAACTACTGAAGTTTCCCAAAGAAAAAAATGTTAAGAAAGAAGTTTATTTTTTTTAAGGTTTCTCAGAGTTTGGTTCAGTGCGAATATGTTATTTGTGAGAATCCAATTGAGACCTGGTTTATGGTGTATGAATGGATTCGAGAAACCATCAGTCGAATTCTTCCATTCGTACTTGTGGCATTCTTTAATGTACGAATTCTAGTCGCTTATCGAACCAGAAAGAAAAACCTGCAAAACAATTTGGCAAACAATAAAACAGCTTTTATAGCACAGTCTGTAAGTTTGACAGCATACTTAAAAAAACTTATAGCTTGATGACCAACATGGAACCTAGTAATTAGTAATTGATCTTTTGAGTAATTGAAACTAGTAATTGATTTTTTTCAAAACTTAATTTACTTTTCTAAAGGTTAAGATTTTTTCCAACAGAGAGAGCTGATTAAGCGACTGCTCAACTTTTATAATCTTCAAGGCTGTAGCATTATGCAGTTGAGTTTTTGTTACCTCTGTGTAAATTATTTTTTGCTTCTTAGCATTAATTTCCTTGGTTATTTTATTTTTTCTTAAGTTCTTCAGAGTGAAAGCGAAAAAACGATTAGAATAAAAAGTGCACAACCTTTCATATATGTTAAGAGCTGTGGCATTTACATCAGAATTATGAATTCAATTGTTCACGTTTTCTATAGTTACAAAGTGATGTTTATGTCTGCTGCTGAGGGTTTTTTCAACCAATTATGCTAAGCTATAGCAGAAGTTGCTAAACTTTTTTGTCGACAAGGCTTTTTTCGACGTTTATCAATGTTTTTTAAAAATACTTACGAAAATATCTCAATTTTTGGTGCAGACGGTTTAAAAATTTGCTGTTTAAACGCAAATTGATCTCATCGGTGCTTGCAGACAGGAGTGGATTATTTTACTAGGAGAGGTGTTGCTGATAAATTTGAGTTAGTTCTGCAGACGGTCAACGCATTCTACTCTAGTGGTTAGATCAGAGTCATGAATCAAGATAGATTTCCAAATCAAATTTTTTGTTAAGAGCTGATGACACTATTGACGGCAGCTCAATGTCGTTTTTTAAAGTTTACTACGTGTATCTTTTGGCTTTTTTATTAAGTGCTAGCAATGACCTTTTTTTTTGCCAATCCCAAAAATAGAAAATAAATTTAGGTGGAAATACTTTGATAGCTTTAAGCAACCTTTTGATACTGTTTGTAAAAATCATTTTAAAGTGATAGCAGTCAGTTATACGGTTAAGCATACTAAACGAACTTTTACAGTTTTTTAAACAGATTTTTAACTTTTTTTGGCAACTGTAAATGAGGGTGCTCAATAAAGCAGTTATAAACTTAAGCTTTTTGTCTACAGAATCTTTTTGAAACTCAAACATATTAGTCGACAAATGTATAAGAAGCTTTTATTTTATAAGTAACAGTAGTTTTGCAATTATTTTTTTTTCTTCTTTTTTGAAATGCACTGTACTTGACAAATTTGAATAAAACATTACAGCACGTTTACATATCACTAGAATAAAGCTGTGATAAATGTAATAAAGATTAGTCTAAAAGTTTTTTGGCTAAATTTTTTTTGCAGTGCATTCTTATTGGCAGTCAACTTGTATAGACAATATCTATTTATCATTATGAATTTTATGCTTTTTTTATGATAAACAAAAGTTAATCAATTTTTGTGAGAAAAAAATTATGTCAAAAGCAATATTTTTTATACTATTGTCTATTTGTTATAAATTCAAAAAAAATCCTTTTTTTTTCTTTCAACAATATCTGTAAAATTTTTTTGGATACAATAATAATGTGAATTTTCAGGAAGAGAGACGACTATTTGTCTTGTTGTTTTCCATCATTATTATCTTCTTTGTTTGCACAATCCCAGCTGCTCCAATGACTATTTTTGTGTCCGATAAACATTCTCGTAATTTAACTTTTCAGGTATGCTTTCTCTCATTTTATTTCTTGTCTTATTTTCGTTTCGTTTTCATTTTCACTAAACAGTGCATTTTTTGTTGATACTAATTTTAGAAGCTTATTCAAGACAGCAGTGAGGAGGTGTAAGAAAAATAAGGGTATCAGAATTGACAACTGCTGCAAATTTTTTGTCTGTTAATTTAATGATTATTACAGATTGTTCGTGCAATTATCAACGTTATAGAACTTACCAAATTTGCACTGAATTTTTACTTCTATTGTCTTATAAATCCTGGAATTCGTTCAATTTTCTGGCAAACTGTACGTTGCAAAAAACTTGCCGTACCTCCACTTGTCAAAGGTTTAATTTTTTTTTTTGTTTTCATTCAAGTTTTTTTTCAAACATTCTTTTTTTAAAAATTTATGTATTTATATTTTTTTTTACTAAATATTTTGGAGTGAAAATAAATAGTGTTTATGCGCATATATTTGTAGGTGTACATGTTTTATTGGTTTCGATAAGGTATCATTGAAAGATGTTATCCACAATTATATATTATTGCACAGATTTAAAAAACTCATTTTAGTTGACAATTTATCACTGTTACGCATAGCACAATTGGTTCAAAAGTCAAACGTTTTGAACGATAGTTTTGAGAGAAAAAAAAAGGCCATAAAGTTTTGGGGAAAAAAAAGAAGAAGAAAAAGATGGCTTGAAATAGCATAGAAGTCTTAAAGCAATAAACGAAAAAGAAATTTTTTTTTGCTTTAACAATTGAAAACAAAATGCACTTTTTATATGATTTACTGCACTGAAATCCACTAAGCTTTTCCAGTTCTTACCAGCTGACATGGATGAGAGGGAAGAGAATAAAATTAGTGACTGAAGAATTTTTGTTCATATATAGATCAAAATTTAGAACAACTGAACAATAGTTGTAGTATCCGGTCATGTTACTGTAAGGCATAATTGGACTGTTCAAAGGTGGATAAATATTCGATTTTGTGACTAAGTGCTGTAAAAATTTATGTTTTAAGGTCAACCGGCAACTCCGGTTTCATCATATTTTTCTCGATCATCAAAGAATGCAAGTGGTTACGGTGCTAGCTGTTCCAGATCTAGTACAAGGCGTTCAGATTTACCAGATTCCAGGAAAAATAGTATGACGACGAGTTCGGGCTCAAAGTTGGTTGTTATATTTAAGTGCTAACAAACCGTTGAATTGAAAAGCAAAAAGAACAAAAAAAAAAATAAATAAATAAAAATAAACAAACAAATAAAATTTTGCAGAGAAAGTAAGTAAATCTTTGCAAAAATTGAATTTGCAGGCCTCTTTCCGTTAATGCAAATCAAAATGGAAATTGCGACAAACCGCTTGACAAATTGACGGTAATCAACGAGAGTAAATCCTCTAGTGAACTTGTCAGTCGCATCAGTAACATTTAACCATTGGCTTTTCGAAGCTAATTTACGGATAGATACGTGTATAGCTTTCTTGCCGGTGCATTCCTTGCTTTTTTCCCCTTTTTTTCTTGTGTGTGTGTGTGTGTTTGTGTTTATTTGTTTATTATTTTGTTCATTTTATCTTCTAAAAAAAAAAAGTTTATTACGTTTTGCTGTATGTATACTTGAAATTTTTTCTTTTGTGATTGATTTGTACATAAAAATTTCGGGAACCATAACTTATACAAACCTTCCACTTTCTTTCTCTATTATGCTCGTTCATCGTTAAGTTTTCTGTTCGGAAAACAATATGATTTTTGCATTCCCAAGGTAAATTGGATAAAAAATGATTAGGAGTTGTTTATATGTGAAATGTTCTCTTGAATATGTCTCTTAAAACTGAAACATAAATTGAGAACCGAGAGTATTTCTTCTTCATTACCTTACCTGTTGTTCACTATAATAAAGATGCATGAATAAGAATTGCACAGCGCTCAAAGAAAAAGTGGCTTATTACTATTTTGATGTTCATATTTGACACATGAGTGAAAAAAATTCAATTGGTGATGTGTTCTGATTTTTTTGGGCACCTCTCAGTCAAAAAGAAATTTTTGAACAGACATCAACGATTTGTGCAATGAAGATTTTACTATGAGAAGCAGAATTTTACAGTAAACGTTTAATTTCCTGTTTAAAAATAAAAAAAAAACAATTTCGGATTACAAAAGCAGTTTGTAACAAAAAATACCATAGCCACGCTTCATCGGTGTTTTTGATATTGTTTTCGTACGTGTTTATACAGACATCCTGTTTCATCTTAGTTGCTTTTGGATTTACTTCAAATGTTAAGTGATACCATAAACATGCTAGACATCTCTTGTTTTGGTTACATCATACAAAACCATTGCGTCAGATACAGTCCAAGAAAGAAAATATTGCCGTCAAAGTAGAACAGAATGAAGAAGAAATTTTGAACGGAACTGCAGTGACGCTCCTAGTTAACAAAACAAAGATACCATTCCCTGTAATCACAAAAGCACAACCCACAATAAATATTTGTTAAAAAAACATTACTAAACCTAGTCAACAGTGATTGAACACCATCAATAAGCGCAGCGAGACAAGGCGGTATGAGAGAGCATCTTTGGTACCACAGAAACCGCTTACAACTCCATGAGCAGCAGAGTTAATTTATATTGGACACAGAACAAAAAACGCAATTTCGTTTATCCTCTTCCACTGAATTAACGTTTCTAATAACCCTAAATAAGCATTCTAAATAATTTAGAAAATTTCATGCTCACTTTCAGCAGTAAACATCAATCCAACACAAAGAGGACAAAAGCCAAAAATCAACTTTGAAAGCCCGTCTCTATATTCCCTTAGCTGGTTAGTGCGGCGCAAAAGCGAGTAAAACCAGCCTGCGCTTGCCAAGAACCATCAAAGATTCTCTAGAATGTCCTGTTAGTTAGTTTACTTCCATAAGACAACTTCTTGCCATGCAGGAATTAATTGAAAGACGAAAGTGCAAAAAAATCAGTTTTTCAGATTGTTATCACATTCTCAAACTCACTGCACCCAAATCTGCTCAATAAGGCTGTAGTGGATTAAAGTCAAATCAAGTTAATCGCTCGAGTTTCTACAAATAACCAACCAGATAAACACTCGTATTAAACCTCGAAGCTGTGACACTTTCATTAGCAACATGACGTGTCAAACGAAATCAAGCAATGAAGAACTAAATTCATTATCCGCTTTGAATCCAGCAAAAAAATACAGAATACATCTGCGTTTTCAAGACTGGAACCATTAGTACCATGACAACAATAACAACAGAAAAAGAGGACAAACACGAGAAGCACACTACAAGTCATTCTTTTATCACATTCAAAGGAACTCTGACTTTATACATAAATCTCTGTCCGATAATTCTGAACACCGAGCAATATGTGAGCATTTCTCCCACTAAAGGCAAAAATCTCTTATAGCTACAAGATGACCACGAAAGAGCTCCAAAATAATAAACGTATAGGAAACACACAACCCAAATTACTCCATATTGTGACCGATAAACAAATAAACAGTACCACTGCGAGTAAAGCCAATAAGAAAAATCACATGAAAAAAGTCCAGTCAAAGAAAAACTGTTATTATATACATTTGTAACAAAGCTGAACGTGCAATAGTAGGTTCTAATTCTGCGATTCCTCACTCTCGTCAAAAAAAAATCTGATCTTCAAAATCCCTCTCTTAACCATACATCACTTTCAAAAAAAAAAAAAATGAACTGAGAATTGCAGAATCGCAAAATTGACAAAATATCCGCCGACAAACCTTTCTATTTAAGCTTAAAAAAGTCACTATTTTAATAAATCGGCATTATAAATATACTACTAAAGCAAATTAGAAAAATTATGACAATGACATAATAAGGAGATCTGTAAGACTTACATTAAAGTTACCCGTAAAAACTAATGCATTAAGCAACTGTAAACTGAAACTATACACATAAACTCAAATTTTACAGACAACTAACTCAATTACAGATCTACAACTTTCGTTGTCGTAGATGTCATTTTATTTTATAGGCAGTAAACCATTTCCACCACTCTCAATAATATTTGCATCTCGAATCACGTTCGAGCAAACGACGTCATCATTTAAATGTTTCTTGTCATTAAAACAAAGAGATTCTTCATAATTTGCTCCAAAACATGGATATCCTCCTTCAGACGGTAGCGGATTCTTGCACAAACGAGTTCTAAAATACAATCATAAAAGTTTCAGCGTATAAATCAATATGCGTAAAGTGTGGTGCTATAAGTAGATTGTCGAGACATAATAATCGAGAATTGTTAGAAATTCATGCACTACTCTGAAATATTTGCAGAAAAAATAGAACAACTTGACCAAATCTGTAACATCTAACTCTCTGTAGAGTTAGAAAATCCTAAAAATTCATAATGCTAAGTTACGGTGAACAGTGCTATGAACAGTGACTAAGAATACTGCTCCCATATTTAAAACAGTGTTTTGCCCGATTAATTAGGAAAAAAGACTAAGTAACCGTTGCATCTGAATCAAAAAGTATTGTGATAATGCAGTAGTGGACATGCAAACGAGTGAACAATTGCATGCATTGCAGTACTGTAATGTTCGTTTAGACACTACTGCCAAGTAATGGCTTTGGCTCATTTCGGCCTATAATAGCATGGTGACAAATTTGCCATCAATTATTGAAAATGAAAAGCAGCGGCAGTTTGCCACGTAATCGACCTCATCTTTGTTCCAATACCACATTCAGCTGAGCATTCCGACCATTTACTCCATGAAGACCACTGTCCATTGACCAAAACTGAAATGGATATAGGACATGCATAGTAAAAATTAATTATGAAAGTGAAAAAGCTGCAGTTTTCTGTTTTATCTGCAAAGGAATATGCTTATGCAGAAATGTCCGAAAAGCGATAAAAAATAAAAACTCTACCTTTACACGGTTTTGTAGGACAAAGCAAGGACATAGTTGCCAAGCCAAAACACGATGCACCCCTCCCGGCAGGTGCAGGATTATTGCAAAAACGATGCCTAGTCTGAAATGAAAAACCACACTTGGCAGAACAATCTGACCATTTCGTCCATTCACTCCAGTCGCCATCCACAGCTGTAAATGTGCTAGTGCAGCAGTGCATGCACAACAAGGCAAACCGTGTGCAAGAATAAAATTTCACCATTAGTAAATATTACTTTCATAACGAACAAAAACTTTAGTGAATTCATGCAGTTATTATATTTGTGCCCATTAAAAGTCATTAATCAAAAGATGAAGTCAATATAACGGTCGGAGGAGCCAATAGAGATCAAGTGACTGTTCAGTTGAATTTTTAAGCAGAGCATAAGTCACTAAGTGAAGTCATTACGAAACTTATACAAAAATGTATTAATTATATATATATATATA